GCGACTTTTGCAAGGTGGCACTTATGCCTGTCAATAACTTCATTTCCGGCACAACGTGATTTAATTAACGATTACCCACCCTCCTTTGCTCCCCGCGTCCGATGGGAGTTTTTTATGTAACAATTAAGTGGGTTTCCTTGTTGGTCGTGTGTGTCCTTTGACCAGCTTGGCAGGATGTGCGTGCTCGCAGCCTAACAGCATTATATTTTCAGGACGTGGGCGGCAAAGCCCCTTCGATCTTACCATCGCCCGATGCCTTGCTAATTTCCCGCTCTGATCGGCATACAAAGCGCCGCCCAGATTTCATTACCCGCTTGGATGCATTCTGCATGCATCGGCCAACTTTTCCACTTGGCCCGGCAACCGCATTTCAAATTAGCAAATGCCAAATTCGCACTGCTGACCTTCAGAGATTCGCAGGGGGCCCTGCTTGACCTGGTGCTAGAGCTTAATATGGGCACACTTCGCTACAGCTCTTAGTTAAATTAGTCGGATTTCCAAGAGATTGGAATACATTTACTAAGGTAATTAAATAATTTGGCTTGACTTCTATTGGTTTCGATTTTGATAAAGAGCGAGACCACTAACTCTAGGCATTTTGTGAGTTTTAAATTAAGCCAATTAAAGCCATCTTTTAGCTAAAAAAAATGTTGTTTTGTTTATTGATTAGTAAAGGAGGAATTATACATAATGAAATATAAGTTTATGTTTTTTTTTACCATTCACATTCCTTGGTCATATATCCATGTGATCAAATAATAACTCAAAATTATTCAGTATATTTCATCTGGCTTTTATTTCCATTATACCTTTGTTTGTATTCTTGTTTCATACATATAGTTTAACTTCACAAAAAAATGTTTTCATTTATTTAAGTGTGGCTTTTGTTGTCATGTCTGCGTGTTTTTGGTTCATGCACTTTGCACTTAAACGAATTTATTGAATAATTGGTATTTGTTTTTATTTCGTGGAAAGTTTGTTCGCTTGATTTTATCATTTAAAATTTACACCAAAAAAGTTCGTCTATGTTTACAACTAGTACATTTGTATATTTCCGTAATTTCTTTATCAATTTTTAATTTTGTTTATAACGTGGCCCAATCGATGGACTTCGTGGGAGTTCCTGTAGCCAACAATTAGTTCGACTCGTAATACTGGAAATTTTCGTAGGGACTCTCGATAACTCTGATATATATTATTCGAGCGGTCTAGAGTTTGAGTTTCCGGCTGCTGGAACCGAACCCTTAATAAATGTGGTTTCTGTCACCCTCAAGCCTAGGCTATGACATGTGTTCTCTGCATACATATAGTAGAACCGTATATGCTGCGCTTCCATTTAAACAAACGACTAGTACAGTTATAGAGCAACAACTGAAGATCGAGTATTTCTCTAAAACGAGATTTTCGGGATTTCATTTTAGAATCCTTCATCCTTTCCTCGAATTCAACACTTACGTTTTTGGTAAAATTTGATTTAACAGCTTATAAATTAGGAAAAAAAAACACTCAGACGCCCTTTGGGGCGTGGTCCTATACAATTATTTTTGCATATATTTTTCAGTTTACAATTATTTGCGTTCCTCTAATCTTTGGATTTGGTTTAAGGCTTAGGCCTGGAAAATACTGGCAACTTGGTTGGCAATCCTCCAATTTTTGTTTGCTTTTTTTTTTGTTTTTCGTTTGGTTTGTCAATTCGCTCACTTGCCAACTTTTTTTGTTTGTTTTTTTGTTGTTGAAAATTTGACACTTTACTTTTAAAATATATTTCGCATTAAGACTTGAATGCTAATTCCACACACATATAATTAGAAAGAGATAGAGTCATGTAAGGAGCTAGAGGGAGAATAGTGTGTTGTGGGAACTTACATATATCAAGTATATTGAGGGGGAACAAAAATTCGAGTTGATACACCGACAAGCTCAATTTCGTTCAATTCAACTAGCTCTTCTATTGCATTTGAAATCTGTGAAAATAATGGAGCTTGAATATATCAATGTATCGTTTGTACCGAAATAGTATTATCGGAAATTTTGGAAGGGATCACTGCTTTGCAATCACTTGAAATCATTGTTAAATCGATATGTCCAAGTAGATACCGATATACCAAACAAAGGTCCTGTAGCCATCAGTATTCACATTGAATTTCCAATTTAATATCGATATATTTGGGTTGTAGTGTGTGGTCTGATCAGCCATGGTGGGAGGGTATTGCGGTATTAATTGTAATATATGTCATATATAGTTCAAATAGTATAGTATTCGTGTTGCTCTGTCAATATTGTCGTGCCTAAGATCGGATCGGATCCGTTTTAGTTTAAATATGTATTAGAAAACCGATAGTTCAAGGGATATAGAGGTGAATAACCTTAGAGTCGGGCTGGGAATCAAGGGGGGCTGGGAGTTGCACCGATAACATTTATCCAAAAATAATACAGCTCGTCTTCTGCGCCCAGAACAGCAGCAGTTTTACGGTTTTGCAGTTTTTTATATTGCGACCCTTGAGCAGGCCCTCACTTGGACTCGCCCATTAGAAGGATTTATTGTTTTACAATTTGTATTCCGGTTGGATTTGTTTAGTTTTGAAAGCTATGTGGGTGTTTCGGCTAAGGTACAAATTCGCTACAGACCCAATCTACGTGGAATAGAGTTGTAACCACCTCGCTGGATTAGTTCTCTGCTTCGTGTCGATTCTTCTTCGGTTTCTTCTGGAAGACTACAGCTAAGTACACAGCTATGTATGTTTGCTTGTATGTATAGGGTTAAAAATGCAACAATTACTTTGTGCATATACTTTGTCAAGTATAGGGAAAGGTCTGTAGTTGGTGTAAGGGCAAAAGAACCACCCACTAACTATGTACAACGAGATTTGAATTATTAATTTTCAACTTTTGTGGGTTTCTGGGCTTCTGGGTTTCTGGCTTTCCATTCTTCTATACTCCGCTCTAGTTCATAATCTGTGTATTTACCTCTAATAGTTCTCTGGCTCTTTGCTTGCTGTCTCGCTTAGTTCTAGCTACAAAAAATTACAAGTACACACAAATTTTCGTTTATTAAATATTATATATACTTTTGTGTATATGTATGTAAATATAATATGCATATACACATGGATATTGGTTTACGCTACATCTTCCTCGTCGCCATATATGCATTGTTGTTGTGGTCCAATTTCTGATTCTAGCATTTGTTTTTATTTGATTTAGCTTCAGCTTCAGCTTCGGCTTCAGCTCTGCACACTCACATCTCACACCCATCCCCCCCATACATACATGTATGTACTTATGCATATGTGTGTAGAATACACTTGATGACATTCCGTCATTGTCACCATCATCATTGGATTCAACTAATTTGCTAATGGAGGTTTGGCAATAGCAACAATGCGGAAAAACAACACACGAGTGCGATACACACTCAAATTCAACATTACTCATACGCCCCGGGGAACACTGCTTGTCCATGTCCTTGTCGTGTGCAAGAGCGTGTGAGCGTGTTGCCTTTATTTTGATTTCGACAGCACAAAATTCACATTATTTACCTACTCTCTGTTCTATACATACATATTTATATGCTTGTGTTTCGAAAAGAAAGCGAAGCTGCTGTCAATGAAATATCAATTAATCGATATTTCCTCCTGCTATTTCCGGTTACCGCGCACTCCGTATAAATATAGTTTTATATTTTAATTTAAATTGCTCTATATATTAAATTTTAAATTATTCTTTAGTTGTTAGTTTTAGTTTTAGTTTCATTGTGTAAAGCTTTCGTTTCGTACGTTTTGAATGGGGAGTTTTCTCGGGGCGTGCATACACTGCTGCTTGACGGCAAGCAGTCGCGCACTTCCGGTGCATTTTCACTTCCTCTTCGCTGGAGAAGTACTGGGAACCCCTTAAATGCAACAGCTAAGATGACGTTGCTCTTGTAGCTCTGTTATTTTCCACGTTCGGTGTTTCCGCGGTATTTTTTTTTCAAGTTCTGCAGGTTGACACACACACATCCATTACATTAATTGCATATTTATGAGCACTGGATGTACCTTGATTTTTATTTCGGCAGATTCGCATTTCATTTACTTTCTATGTAGCTTTCTACACGTGTGTGTGCGTGTGTGTATTTGTATTTGTACAGAGAGAAAGAGACAAAGAAAGGGAGAGAAAAAGAGAAGAGAGAGAGAGAGAGAGAGAGAGAGAGGAAAAGAAATAAAAGCAGATATTTTAATTGCCATACACGAATTTCAATTCCCATGCGTTTGCATCCTTGTTTGTCTTTGGTGGTGGTGTGTGCGCAAGTGTGTAGTGTGTGTGCGTGTGCGTGTGTGCAATGTGGCTTATAATGAAAACAACAACAAAAGCATGACAAGCAATAACAGTTAGCAAAAAAGTAAACGCCCAGCAAACTTCACAAGAGTTATTCGAAAGGCGAGCGCAACTTCCTTGTTTCGTAATGCAAAAACGGACTGAAATTTAATGGCATCCAATTACGCTCATGCAATAATGCCGAAAGTTGGCTGCTGGCTTCAATTAAAAGCAAACTTGTCCCCGCCAACTCGCTTTTTGGGCATTTAATTTTCAGTTAATGGCAGCAGTGACAGAGTGTTTTTTTTGTGAAAGCGAAAAATAGCAATGTTAAATATTAATCTGCACATTTATTGGTTTAATTTCCAAATTATATTCCTCAATTGCTTCGTGGCTGTTTAATATTAAGAAAGCAATCAAAAACAATTATACATTTCAGAAGCAAGAGCTATTAAATTTAATTCAGGAGCTCCTTGATCGATCCTTTCTGAGAGAACATTTACAATCACACCCACACACACTTTGATAGAGTATCTTTCGTTAAGCAATTTCCTCCCTTGACTCGTGTTTTACATATAAGAATATGCAAGTTTACCGTTAATTATACTTGTTTTCTCATCACAGCTAACGTCAATTTACGTAACTCTAGGACATTTAACAGTATATCTAAGAAGTATCCTTTCGGGCCACAAAAACAATATGAGTTTCGGAGCGTAAAGAAGGGTTTTTAATGCTTTTCATATATTTTTATACATTTTGGTTCAGTTTCATTTGGCATTTCGCTTGTTGTTTACACTCATACTTTTACATTTGACAATCGACTCACAGAGAACGCTTTAAACTCTTATAAACTTAACTTTGCTAATTACAGAACAAGCACTCTAAGTAGGAGAAACCGTAAACGAATCAACAAATTGGTTCACAAGTACACATACACAACTGGGTGGATCTCCGCTATTTTTTTTTGATTTTTAACTGTTTCTAACCCCCTTAAAAGGGAACTTTTGTGTGAAACAAACTGAGAATATTAGTGAATAGACTCAATTTAAAAGTCCTATTGAATACAAACAAATAGACATTGAGCGCTTGAAGATCCATCCTAAAACACACATCAAATTCATAAAAGCATAAAATATATATTTTTTCTACTTATTTCAATCTGGAACAACAACAACAAGTTATCGTTCATCGAATCAGTAATCTTTTTTCGCATTGTTATTATAATAATTTTGTTTTTTTTTTTGGTTTATTTTTGGTCAAATGCTGGATGACTGGATGCCTGGATGCCTCGGAGTGGTGGCAAGGATACTCACTGCTCGCCGCGATTAGCAGGAGACACCCTGCTTGGCCACCGTATACCAGGTACTCACGGTGACCAGCGACGGGGAATCGGGGGTGGTCGACGGCTGGGGATGCAGAGGATGGACATCGACAACTAGCTCAGCTCCGCCGTCGCTCCCGCCCTCGGCCCCACTGGCCACAACGACGAGTGGCGGAAGGGGTGCTAGTTCGGTGCGTGCTGGCAGTGCTGTTGTCGGGGGCTGGGTCGGTTGCGGGTTCCGAATCGGATTCGAAAACGGGTTCGGATTCGGGGGCGGATTAGCTCGAGGCGGCGCTACTGGGACATTCTTGGCCATCCGCCGCTGGAGGCGGGATCTATTCTTTAGGCGGCCCTGCGACTGTGGGTGATGAAAGTGCAGAGGCTGAGGCGTGTGTAGGTCGCGACCCACCTGCGGCCCCACCTGCGGGCACCGGAAGCGGATGGCCTGTTCGTTGGCCACGTTCAGTTCTGGCCACCTTGCTTGTGCCGCCTGGCCGGCTCCAGCCTTTGTCTGGTGGCGCTTCTTGCTCTTGCTGCGCTTACGCGACTTTAACTGCGACTGGGACTGGGAGTGCGTCCTAATCTTGCTGTGCGATCGGCGGCCTGTGGACTGCGGCCTCTGGCAGTGCCGGCAAACGAAGAACCTGTAGTTGTGGCCGTCCTCCTCCTCCCTCTGATCGTCGTCGTCCTCCTCCTCCTCGTCGTACTCGTCCGCCTCCTCGGGAAGCGGGTGATGGGAGCTCGGTTGCCCGTTCCGGACATTGCAGTTCAGAGTGGTGCTCGTGGCCGCTGATGTGGTGGTCGTGGTGGTGGAGCTCTCACCGCCGTCCATGTCGATTATGTGACAACACTTCTGCTGTCTAGTGCTATGTGGTTGCTGCTGTTTTTGCTGTTGCTTGTTCTTCGTCTTGTGCTTGGACTTACTTTTATCTGTATCCAGTTGGTACTGCAGATGTTGCTGCTGCTGGTGCTGGTGTTGCTGCTGACTGTGACTGCGTCGCCGCCGGCGGACCGTGTATTCGTCGCCCTTGTCGGTCGGATATGGTCAGAACGCTGTGTCAAACACGGACATCGACCGCGAGATGGCGTCGTCGTTGCGACAGGCCTCCAGGAACTCCTCTAGGGTCACGACGCCGTCGCGATTGATGTCCATTTTCTGGCGGAGTAGAAAACATCAGCATACAGCAACGGTCTAAAGTAACATAATGCAATTGACTGTCTTATCTAGTCTGCTCTATGATCAAAATTGAGTAAATTTGCTGCAAAATGTAGCAAAACTTGTAGCTACTTTTGAAGGCATTTCTTACTCAGGCAAAAATACCGTCTATCTAGGAAAGGTAAGATTATATACATAGTTTGCAATGCAGCACCCTGCTGTAACAATGCTCTTTAATTCAAGCGCTCAACATGGCTTACAAGGGTTCCAGCTTGACCTGTTTAATATAATAAAAGTAGTTCCCAGAAACTAAGACTGACATTTGAATAAGTCTGGCAGACAAACAAAAATGTTTGAAAGAACTTTCGGCTATATATCTGGCTAATATCCCCAACACTACGTGATATTACTGGCAATTGAATCCATTTAGTTATCGGGGCTTCCGGAATGAAGAGAGCAGAAGCAACAGCTTAGACGAGCTCGGCGAGCGGCAGTGCTTTGACGCACTACTTCCGCTTCCATTTGGAGCAGCAGGAATTTTGATTCACAGCCCTGAACTCCGGAATGGGCCGTGAATGATTTCAGCCATCTATCATCAATTTCACTCTCGCTCGGCATTATTCAAAGACTTTTGGCCGGGCCCATTTGCTCTGCCCAATTTATTCCGACTGCCAACGACCGCTAATGACAATGCGTGACTGGCAAGCCAAGGAGGAGCTCGCTGGGCAGGACGCCCAACTGAAACCGAAAAACCCATTCACAAGCCGCTCCTCCTGGCCTGTTGGCCGACAAATTGAAATAGACAATTTGAATTTGCATAATGCAAACTAAATAAGTTTCATGTTCGCAACTCAAATTCAAATTGTACGCGTGTAATTAGCATAAATAATGGCCGAAAATTGTTTGGATTTAAGGAGCAGGAGCAGGAGTGAGACTGGGACTGAAACTGAAACTGAACCGACCACTCACCTGAAAGATGTGCTCCACCTTGCCCTTGATCTTCTCCTCCTCGGGACACTCGTCGGGCAGCCGGCCCATTAGCTCGTATATGGCAGTCACAATGTCAGTCATTTCCTCCCTCGTAATGAAGCCGTCGCCGTTGATGTCGTACAGCGAAAAGGTCCAGCGCAACTTCTCCTCCACGGAGCCGCGTGACAGTATCGAAAGTCCTTGAACGAAATCCTGTGTGACGGGCGGGACGATAAATAGGTAGGCACAAATAGGAGAACATATACATAGGAAAATGGGGACAGATACAGAGACAGAGGCAAAGGCAGAGGCAGACAGAGCCGGAATACAGGTATACAATAAATTGAAAATATGTTTTAAGAAATTGCTCGTAAACCGCAGTGGCAGACACACCTGCGTCCACGCAAAAAGTTCACACTGCTCATATAAAACATATAATATTTCTGCCATTGAATAGATTGTCTTAAATTGTAAACGGCAAGGACTTGCAGCTTTCTACCTTGTATGCCTGCATATGGCAATAATTCTTAAACTCTTATATTATTTTTACCGCTGCTGTACCACGGAATTCCCCTTGGAGCTCACCACTCGCACCCCACTTTCGAGTCCTGGCTCTGCCGCTGAAGTGGACATTTATTTCTATGCTTTGTATGACAAATGTACCTAGATAAGGGCTGGCAGAGAGAAGGCGCAAAAGTTTTTACGACTGGGGGAGCTTCGGCCCCCCCAGGGCTTCTGCCTGGAGGTGTTGAGGCATTTTGGAAAGGCCACAGCTGACGGCCAACTGGATCCCACGAGTCCCTTTGCCTTCAGTAGGGGGAGCGAAAATATATAAGACATAAAACAGCAATGCAAGACGGCGTAAAAAGTAAAAATAATGGCATCGAACCGTTCTGGCCATTTGTGCAATTGCAGCGTCCACCAAATTTGTCAAGTTGTACACTGCTCAGACTATCCAAATGCAAACAAGAAACTTTCACCATTCGACGGGGATAAATTGAAGAGCGGAAAGCTGGAAAAACAGCTCGGAGATTGGACATTGCAGTGAAGTTTGCAGAGTGAAAAGGCGGACCTTTGATTCTTAACTCCTGAAAAACAGGAATAGTACTTCTTCGTTAGAAGATTAGACGATTAGAAAACTAAACTAGATGAGATTAGAAAATCAGCTTAAATGTTTGTTGTTCGTGAAAATGTGGCCAGATGTATAGTAAGTCTCATTTCAAAGTGATTTTCTTTATCGATATATGGCACTGGAATCGTGTGAGACTGCTTCAGCGCTCACTCAACTGCCATGTTAACCTGTTTGCCTTTCTTAACTGCTGGCGGATACAATCCTCACTCCCTGGACCCCTCCAGTGTCCTAACCCCCTCGGCTCCCCTCCTCCGCACTTTTCTAGGACTCCAGCAGTATATATTCCCCCTCGCTCAAATGCTTTTATCTCACACACTTGAGCAATTTATCTTTTATGCCAGCGTAAACAGGTCGCAGCACTCTTAGCCATCTTCCTCGTGGCATATTGGCCCTGCCCACAATTTCAATATGGCCATGACAGGTTTGCCGTTGGCCCGTTTTTGCAGCCATTTCTCCTGAATGTCTGAGTGTGGGAGCGGGTCTCGGTGTGGCTATAAGGCCCTGCTCTTGTTGGCAGTTTTATAATGGCGACTGTCATGCAAATCGCGCATAAAACACCTTGCAACAATATGTAGAACTTAATTGAAAAGCGGAAGTCTTCCTAGTCCGACCGTCACATAGAAAACAGGAGAATTACCGGCGGATTCGGAGTGTGTGCTATGGGGTTTTGAGTACGTGCCTTGTAGTCATTACAATTTTGAGGTCATTATTCAACAACAGCAGGCAAAAGCGCAAAAGCTCGCACAGATAAACTGCGGAAAAGGGTGGGAAAAGTGCGGGAAAAGCAAGTGCGTGGCTCTAAGAGATGGACGGCTGACGTGATTGCGATTTTCCCCCGGAAGACAGGCGGACAGACGACTGACAGACAGACACTGTGCAGGAGCGGCGACTTGATTGCAATATTGATTTGTGAATTGCACGCTTCATAAATGCCAACTGGATTTCGTCTATGGAGAGAAGGCTAATGAAATATTTGGTCCCTTTTTACAATAGTTCGGCTGTGGTTTAACCCTGGTTTTCGCTGTTAAGCGTTGTTCATAAATTGCACTAAATGCTAAGCAAAAAGGATACTGTAAAGCTAGGTTTCCATTTTCTGCTCGATTTTTATTACCCTAAAAGCTACAAAAAAGTAATTCATTTAAGCAAGACCTCCGTAGCCTTTTCGTGTCGCGCTCTCTTCGCTCTCCGGGATCCCCTCCTCACTCTTGGCTTCTCCGTTCGCTTTCGATTTCGCTTTCCCAGGGATGTCCCACTGTTTAACTTGGGGTTTTGCTGCTTTTCTCGGTATTTTCATTTTCCTTCCCGCTTGGATCCGCCTACTCGCATATTCCTGTCCTTATTTCCCCTCCCACCCCACCGACCCTCCCAGATTTTCCCCGCTCATGAAGTCACAGTGCCTGACAAAGTTAGCGTTAAAATCGCCATAATTCATCGTTTCAATGGCATTGTGTGTGCTGAGTGTATTCACTACCCCACCGCCCGCCCAGTGCCAACTAAGCGGAAGTGGAGTTCATGTTTGGACATCGCAGGGCAGTCGCGCGACAGTGAATAAACTGAAAAAAAATTATTCGCAATTTGCATGCGCCACGGGTAGCAGCCCAGAATTTTCCCCTCAATCCTCAGAAATTTATTTTGGTGTTTTTTTTTTGCCAGCTCTTGTTTTATGCAATCCGCTTGCTGCAATAGAAACGTTGACAATGACAGGCGACAGCGGCAAACACGCGAATTCGGTGGAAAATGTATTTTCCACCCTGTCTCCCCCCCTGTTCTGCATTTTATTTCAATTTCGAGACATTTCACTTTGATTTCTGAATTTGGCACATTATTTTGTGCAGCAGTTTGCCCCAGGCGCGGAATCGGGAAGCTCTCCACGGCAAGGCGGAAACTCGGACAAGGCAAAAGCTGCGAAAGTGCAGCCAACGGATGCCAGTAGATGAAACCATTAGATCCTGCTTCCCCCAGGAAATCTACATACATTTCCTTTCCGCTTTGCCGTGTTTTGTTTTCAAGAATTTCCACAATTTTCCAAGACGAGTTAAGATAGCATTTCAGCATAGTGAAACTAAAATTATTTTCAAATTAAAAGGGATTCTTTAACAAAATAACTAAAGTTGACTTTCACAGACAAAAAGGACATAATAAGGACATATTTACTTTCTGCTTAGTGTGTTGCAATACGATTACGATGACGTCCTTTTTATTATCTGTTTTAGTGCCTTAAATTAGAATACAAACGAATTTTTCTGCGGCCAAATGATTGTATTCTTCGTGAGTTTAATATCACTTATGCATAATAATATAATATAAATATCATTTATTACGTATTTGCAAACAGCTTCGCTTCCCGGTCCCATATTTAGCCCGGCTGCTACTTCTCCGCTTACTCCATCTGGCTGACCTTTCTCTCACATCCTCCAACATTTTTGGACCCCAAAGCCCCCGCTAATTCACTTTCCTCCATCCATGACCGAACACTTTTAGCGGACCCGAAACTTTGGGGGCTTTTAGGCAGACAGACAGACGAGCAGGCGGACGGATGTGTACTTAGCTTATTACAACTTTTGTGCTGCGGCAGTTAATAGATCGCTTAAGCATCTAGGGTGCGTGTATCTGGAGAAACTCTTTGTTCTGGACTCCTGTCCCTAATAAACCGTAACTAAATGCGCCTACCAGGGCAGGGCAGTGGTTTTTGCTCTTTGGCCATTTTGCAGCATCATTTGGCGCCACCAGTCCCCCCTTTTTGAGCCCAATCAGCTTCATTTAGAGTCACGATGCTACACAACGTTTGCTTCTAAGCTGCTTAAAGGAAAATACAGTATGGGACTAAAGCAGGAAAAATCGTACTAAGGAAACACATTAAATAAAATATGGTGCAGAATTTAATAAATTTTTAAGCTCGAATGAAAGTGCTAGTAAACATGTAAAGCAATTCATTAATTCTTTAATATTGTATAATAATAAACAATATTTTTTAATTTTTTGTATGATTCTTGTAACCAATAATTGATTAATTAAGAAATTAAATAATTGATACTTAGCACTTCCTTGTGATTTTCTTTGTTTAAGAAACTCAAACAAAACCAGAGCGAACTGAACTCAACTCGATTCGACTCGGCTGTTAGACATATTTTATACTTAAAATGTCTAAAGTAATTTCATTGTACTTAAGTCTTGTCCGACCAATTCCTCCCCCTGCTATCTCCCTTTGCCTATTCCGCAGTTCCAACCTGACCTCTGGCCCTGTCCCTGTCCCCATCCCCGGCTGACCTCAACAATTTCAGTTAGCGCCTCATCATCGTCCGGAATCCGGACCTTAAGAGACGTACCGAGTAAATTAAATTGCATTGTTTGTCTTCGGGCACTCGCCTCGGGCACTTATCTGTAAGTCGAATTGGTCGGGACAATCGATTACACAGGCCGATAAAATTTTAAAAAATCGTAGATGCTCTTGCTTGGAAAGTTTCCAAAAGTTACTGATGCGCTGAACTCTTGCCCGACCTCCGAATTTGCTGTACGTCAGTTTTGAGATATTCCATCTTAAAAGTGCGTCAATTACGACTTATTAAATTGAAATTTGGGGAAATCTCTATGGATCTTTGAGATATTGTCTTTTGAATTTATATCGATATGTTCAAATTCGACTCACTCAGAAATATATGGAACAAGAAAGGAAGCTAACTTCGGCACGCCAAAGTTTGTATACCTTTGCAGATTGGTTTTTATGTTTATATAAATGTTGGAAACACACACAAAACAGAGTCTCATTACATTATACTTAGAGTTTGACAGTTACAGTTTTACATTCACAGCTTTACATTTTCTCTACATCTACCGATCGCTCCTATGGCAGCTATATGATATAGTTGTCCGATTTTTATGAAATTTATACCAAAATTCTAAAATAATAAAATAAGCTCATATCTCAAAGGAGATGAAAATACGTTGAAAAACAACGAAGTTTAATTTTTTTCCTATTAATTTCCTGATCGTTCCTATGGCAGCTATATCATATAGTCATCCGATCCGGCCCATTCCGACATATATAGCAGTGAGAGTATATAGAAGACTATATGCAAAGTTTCATTCAGATAGCTTTAAAACTGAGGGACTAGTTTGCGTAGAAACGGACAGACGGACGGACGGACAGACGGACGGACAGACGGACAGACGGACAGACGGACATGGCTAGATCGACTCGGCTGTTGATGCTGATCAAGAATATATATACTTTATAGGGTCGGAAACGTCTCCTTCACTGCGTTGCAAACTTCTGACTGAAATTATAATACCCTGCAAGGGTATAAAAACTATAACTTCGTTGTTTTTCAACGTTTTTTCATCTACTCCAGGATATAAGCTTATTTTATTATTCTAGAATTTTGGTATAAATTTCATAAAAATCTGCCAACTATATCATATAGCTGCCATATAAACGATCGGTAGATGTAGAGAAAATGTAAAGGTGTGAATGTAAAACTGTAACTGTCAAACTGTAAACATAATAAGTATAGGTAAAATGTAATGATATAATATCTGCAAGGGTATACAAACTTCGGCGTGCCGAAGTTAGCTTCCTTTCTTGTTAGGTATATTTTCATTTCAATTGCATATTATATTATTAGATATGAATGATAGCTTCCTTTCTTGTTTCATCTATGCTTTACCATTCCCTAAAGAAGTAAATGGTTCTGATTGAACTAGCAGATTTGGGCTACATACCCTCGATGCTTATGGTAACTAGACTATATAATAAGATATATTTATTCTCAACATATCTACCCTTTAAGAGCTCTGTATTCTGCCAGCACTTCCCCAATTATAAAGTTCGTTTAGATTACCTTTTGATGATGCCATCCCTGACACAAAAGACTGGAAATAATGGAGCAATTGGGATATTTTTCTTAATGGATTCATTTCGCTGCTAGCACTGAGACAGACTATTTTCTGTTGCTGGTCTAATGGGGCTATCTCCTCCTTGCATTTTCCCAAAACTTAAGCCAACCCAATTTGAAGCGATTTGCAGCGGCTTAGCCCACTCTGCCAGCCTAGCCTGTCGTCAGAGGAGGAAAGGAGAGCTTAGAAGGATACGTTTAACTTACCTCAAAGCTGACTATGCCACTGTGATCCTGATCCAGTGTGTTAAACACATAGTGCGCATAAAGGGTTGGATTGGCTGTTTTTTTCGGTCAAGGCAGATGTCCGGCGTTGTTGATTGGAAGGTCAAATGAAAGCAAGAGAGGAGGGCGTTAAGTTAGAATATTCTACGGCTAAGATCTAGGCTACCCAAAGCTGGCAAAGGTTGGCCAATTAGATCGCAAATAAACCGATTATTTTTTCAGTAACAGTATAAATTAAACTCTACAAACAAGCGCACTCCCATTCACCCAGAACACCAACATGTGCATATTACAACAAACACGGATGAGTAAATTAAAAAGACAAGGAAATTAGTAAAACAATCGAATAACAATAATGAAAACGAAAAGTTAATATTATATATGTTATGTATATATTTATTATCAACAAATATGGCTTTAAATTGAGATCTTTTCATTTTTATACCCATGCAGAGGGTATTAATAATTTAGTCAGAAGTTTGCAACGCAGTGAAGGAGACATTTCCGCCCTTATAAAGTACATATTTTCTTGATCATAAACAGCCGAGGCGATCTAGCCATTTTCTATTAATTTAGCCAGAATGAATTGATTCTTAGTGATCCAATTGCAAACTGCAATAGTAGAAAAACTTCGGTGCGCCGAAGATAGCTTCCTTTCTTCTTCTATTATAAAAATATATATAATCTATACTTTTTTTTGGTTTCTTCTATAAAAGATCAGTGAAAACGCGTATTATGAGAGTACACTTAAAGTATAGCAAGTCTCATTAATTATCAATCGATATTACTTTGCTGAGCGAGATTTCTTCAGTGGGTTGCATATACATATATATATACATATGTATATATATGTCTATATATAAATGTATCGAAATCAGTTTTTGAGTTTGCAAGTTTATTTATTTATTTATTTATTTATCTAAAGCTAACAAATAGTATTAAACTAAGAGCTAACTATGGGTAAAGAGCCATAGCATCTAAGGCCTTTGGCTCGAGTTTGCAAGTTATATGTTGGTCGTCGTCTTAGTCTTGACTTCGAAATTTAAGACTTTCACTTTTCCTTACAATTTTGTCATCCGCAGAAGTTTTTCCATGTCGTTTTTTTTTATTTAGAGTGTTTTTTATTTTTGAAGTTAGTGCGTGTGTTTTCCTTTTTGTTTTTTCATTTTATCAGGGGAAAAGTCATCGTTTTTTTGGTCCCGGGATTCCCGAAAGTTTCTGCGCGATGCCAGGCGGGGGTGGAGGCATGTGCGAGGTTTGGTCAGCAGGAAGAAATGTTTCCAGCTAATTATGCGAGTGTCTCCTGTGACTGCTGATAAGCTCTGCTTTCTGAAAGTGTGCAGTGTTGTTTTCGAACCTTTTCAAAAACTGTTGCCTACTTATGAGGGCGCTGAGATAAAGAAAGAGAGAGAGTGAGAGAGAGAACGAGGGAATGCCAGTGCACTATGGGGAATTTGCTTTTTCATTATATAAATTTTTCGATATATAAAAAAAACATTTTTCCTTCAAAAAGGAAGGCGGAACCACCCCCACTTTGACAAAAAACAGTTTTTATCGGTATCTATACCAATATTAAACAAGAAAGGAAGCTAACTTCGGCACGCCGAAGTTTGTACAACCTTGCAGATTGGTTTCGATGTTTATTTTGTCGAAAATACTCACTAAACAGAGTTTCATTATATTTTACCTATACTTATTATGTTTACAGTTTGGCAGTTACAGTTTTACATTCCCAGCTTTACATATTTTATACATTTACCGATCGCTTCTATGGCAGCTGTATGATATAGTTGTCCGATTTTTATGAAATTTATACCAAAACTCTAGAATAATAAAAAAGCTTATATCTCAGAGTAGATAAACATACGTTGAAAAACAACGAAGCTATAATTTTTTCCTATATATTTCTCGATCGTTCCTATGGCAGCTATATCATATAGTCGTCCGATTTTCATAAAATTTTTACCGAAATTCTGAAATAATATAAAATGGCCATATCTAAAAACAAAAATGTTGAAAAACACCCAAGTTATAATTTTTTTTCTAAAAATATATCGAACATTTGTATGGCAGCTATATGATATAGTCGTCCGATCCGGCCCGTTCCGACATATGTATATAGCAGTGAGAGTATATAGAAGACTATATGCACAGTTTCATTCAGATAGCTTTAAAACTGAGGGACTAGTTTGCGTAGAAACAGACAGACGGACAGACGGACATGGCTAGATCGACTCGGCTGTTGATGCTGATCAAGAATATATATACTTTATAGGGTCGGAAACGTCTTCTTCACTGCGTTGCAAACTTCTGACTGAAATTATAATACCCTGCAAGGGTATAAAAATTAGTTTTAAATAATTTTACTTATTTTATTAATTAATACCATAAAAATGTGCAAATTCCCCATTGTGCAGTGTTGCAACGCGTTGTTATCGCATTTTCCGACATTCGCCAAGAGCACTTTGCGCACTTAGTACGCCTCCGTCTTGGCCCCCGCCCCTTTGGTTGCCAGAAACATTTCTTTATCTGGCCATCACATAACATTTTGATTATTGCCTGGCTCCCTTTTCCACCGGCTCCTCCTGCTCCTGCAGCTACTTTTTTATGATTCGCGTTTATGTTTATGTCTTGATGTTGCCCGTGTTGTTGCTGACAATGGCAAAGTTCTCCTTTCGGGTTTATGCGCTCGCAACGTTTACACCTCTTTTGGCAAGGCGGCAGACGGTAAGACGTCAGTTCATAAAATCGCAACAAATGCCATTCGGCGCTCGGCTTGATGTGAAAAGCGGACAGCCAGGAAGAGCTCCCACTCCTTTGAAACTCTGGGCCATAAAGCGAAAGTTTAGCGATTGGCGAATTTTGTTGCATTTACTGTGTCGGTGCCATTATCTTGGGACAGCTCTATTTCAATGTATGACATTTATGATGACCTATTGAAAAAAATATGCATTATTTGGGGGCAGCTTTAGGCACTTTTAGGAGCCAAAAATGCTTGGCTTATAATAATAATAGTTAAAGGCTCAGTTTCCGCCTCATGGTTTAGACAAAAATTCACAGAAATCCACCAACTCGCAGAAAGACGGGCGGCGCTTTAAGCTCAGCGGGTCTGCTTTAAGGCACAGACACATACCGTTCGCACGCACTGTGCAAAGTGTACAAATTTATTTGTCCAAATTTATTGTCGCCGTTTGATGCCTAATGTGTTTTTATGACGCATGACGCAAAGTGCCGCGCCCACGAAGGTCAAAGCTCAATGGCAAAAGATGGCATCTGCTCGGAGGAAATCATTCTGCGCGTCTTTCGCCCCTCCCTCGCTGTTGTTTGTTGTGTTTCTTGCGCTGTGGCGAATCAAAAATGACTGCAAATGTGCCATGTAAAAATTGTTATAAAATTTGCGCAGAAATTTCCCAGAAGAAAAGGCCCAGGCCTGTCTAAATAAGGGAAAAACAAAAAGCTCACGACAGCAGGGCGGGCCCAAAGTGATAAATCACCAACTTTGAAGATGATTTTTTCTTTACTCGTCTTAGGCTATGCGTGCGTGTGTGTATGTGCCAAAGCAGCTTATCAAAATAAAAAATGATTTCATTATTTATTTTTCATCAGATAACGGTAGACATGATGGGAAATAAGGGGAACCTCCGGAAATATTGGGGGGGAAAGTCCCATGTTTACTGCGAATTCTTATTTCCGTTTCCGCCCGTCGATAAGCGGATATCCCCCCGGACCAGCCGCCTCCATTGTAGCATTGTAGTCTAAATAAGTTTATTATAATAATTCAGTGTCCCAACATGTGTAGCAATAACTTTCTCCACTGCGCGGGTCTGGATTTCAGCGACAGTACAAATGTTGCCTAACCTGAATTTATGACCCTTGTCTGGTCGGTGCCTGAGGTGAGAATGGAATTCGCTTTGCCAGACAATTCAAGGGGAATTTTCGGGAGTTTTTTTTGGGAATAAACAAGATATAGATGGGCAGTTTTAAAGAGCAGGATTCTTTTCAATTTTACTTGTAAAATATGTATGTTCGGATTCTAGACAAGTTTATACTGTCTATAGAAATGCTACAACTTGATATCGCTGTTTGTAATTACTCTTACTTAAATTACTCTTAGACAATTTGGATGTGCCATTCAAAATAGTGGCTAACTTACATTTAATATATTTATTATATTTTATGTTACGACTTTGTGTGAATAATTCATTCTTTATAATGAAGTACAATATCTTTCTAGGCTACTATAGCTTTTTTCGTCGGACTAACTAATCCATTTAACCAATTTGTTACCTCAAGTCTAAAGAAACCCCATCGCAAATAAGTCAAGTTAAAAAAGCCTCATTGTCTTTCAACAAAATAAGAGAAATACATTTCGCTGTTGTATATTTCCAGGCTTTTGAAAGGCCTTTTTTTTACATTTCTTTGACATTTTTTGTTTGGCAGCAAAGCAACCCTTATCCGGAATTCGCAACCCGCAGCAGACCCTTGCCCGCAGTAATCTATCAGCAATTCAGTTGGTCACTGCCAGTGAAAGAATTCGTCCCCCTTTCGGCCGGGTCTCATCTTCAGATTCAGGTTCGGCTTTTTGCAGATGTACATGCAAAAATAGCAAAAAAAAAACCAACCCAAATGCGAAAAAATTTACTTGTTGTTCAAACGAGGTCAAGTGGGTGGCTTGGCTGCCACGCCACCCACCAGCTGCCCCCTAAATAGACCGCGACTTGTGAAACATGATTTTGCTTTTTTATGCTTTTTTGCTAATTTTCTTTCTGCATTTAATATTTTTACAAGCCAAGGGCCAGCTTTTAGCCCAGCCCAACAAGGAGTCGCCCTTTTGCCGTGCTGAATATAGCTCGGCGTCGTCATTAGCATCCTCCTCAGCTACTGCCACATCATTATCATCTTCTTTTGCGTGATGATCATCCGCAACTCTTTGGGACTTGGGCCCATGGGTCATACATTATTATCAATGGCTTTTGCCCCGAGACTCGAGTTGACTTTTCCGGAAAAGTGTTTTGAATGGCGAAGGTTTCGGCTTGGACTTGGGCTTGGGCTCGGGCGTTGGCTTTGGATTAGGGTTTAGGTCGCTGGGCAATCTCTAGACAATTGACATTTCTTTAGGGGTTCTTTCCTAATCGGACCTGTATGCCATACAACTCTCTCCTTCTTTGCTCGTTTTCGTTTTCGTTTTCGTTTTCATTTCATTTTTATTTCAATTTCCATTTGGATTCCAGACTGCAGACATCGATTGGCGTTAAGTTAACGGAAGGGAGGACGATGGACGAATTTATTTGGAGCACGTGGATTGACAAAAATATGGATACGCGTGAAAACTGTTATTGATGTAAAGGTTAAACGAAATATTTACCTAAATAAAATATACAATTTAATAATCTTTAAGTGGATGATGAGTGAACATGAATAGTATATATGACTTCAACGAGACCCAACTCATTGGTGGCAACTGAAGAGTCCAAAATAGGGTGAACACAAACACTCGTATATCAACTAAAGTGTCAACACATGTAAAAACACAAATAGTATTAAGTATTAAAGGTAACATTTAACGCTGGGCTAGTCAGACACGGGACACACATAGGCATCGGGATCAAGATCAAGATCAGATCAGATCCAATGGTTGAACTCGAACTACACGATGGGGAGTAGTTGGTGATTTGTGGTGACTGTTTAGTTGTTATGGGTGGATAGCTGTTATCGTCTATCGTCTATCGTCTATCGCTATGGCAACGAAAGGGGGCGCAAATGCAGATAAGAACAACAATACAGATACAGTAAGGGCAGGCGTTAGTAAATCACTAGTCAAGTCAGAAATGTTAACAAAACAATGTATACTGTACCGCACGAACCTCCCTGTGGAAAGAACTGCGAGTAGATCACTTTGAAGGTGTCCTCCTTGACGACGCCTGTTGGGCACTCGGCCTTGAAGCCCCTGTAAATTCGTTTGATTTCGTCCTCTGTGAACCGTGTGGCTCTGCTCAGAGCGCTTAGCGAGTCCGGCCTGTACCGAGCCGGCGTCTCGAACTCCTCGAGCTCCGAGTCTGAAAGATGAAGATGAAAGAGCAATGGAGGCATTAGATAGGCTATAGGCTATACTATAATTCCAATTGTAATCCTATTTTCCCGTCTACCTAACAAATTTGCTCAGAAATAAGTGCTTTTGCCGATACTTAAAGGCTTTTTCTTCCTTTTAAAATCTTTAAAATTTGCTCCGCGTGCTGTGCCTGATGTACTACATTCCCACATGCTCCGCAGCCTGCATCCGTTGCCTTCGGGGCATGTCCTAGTCAGCCTTCCCATGCTCCCGCAGAGCCCCGCTGAGTGGGCAAGCCCCTGCCCTCGTCCTCGTCCCCGTCCCTTTGCCTTTGCCTCTGCCCAGAAAGCGACACACGCGATTTTGATCTGTTGAGTCGCTCGAAGTGTTTGAATTGACTTGCCGGTTGCCTTAAGTATCTTGTACTCTGCCTGTCGAAAGTTTTTGCCCCATTTTCGGAGGTGAAAGCTGTCTAGGAGGTGCTGTGCCTTATCGGGGCTTGGTGGTGGGGCTGTGGGCGGGCATCGCATCTCTCAAAAAGGTAAAAGCCCCTTGAGTTATTTTCTCCGTGGTTTCCATTCGCGGGCGAGCGTCAAGAAAAATTTAAAAACATTTCTTTGTGGCCGCGCCGCCTCCATTTTAGGTAATTAAAAGTTTTACTGCCACACATATATACACTGAAAAACGACTCTGAATGTATAGATTAAATTACTTTTTCAATGTAGTAAGTTCTGCATTATTTTACAATGCCGTTTTCAGGGTTAAACTCTTTTCACATGCAATTTTTTGCCAACAAAAAGTATTTCAAAATTAGTTGGAGTTTTTCAAGTGCACACGCACATACACAGCATTTTTGGTTAGTTGAGCTCACGCGCTTGATAAATGGCTGTTTAAAACTGCATGAAAAGTTGCAGAGGAAAACCCAGTAGAGTGATGAAGAAAGGCAGACTGTGGGATCAAAAGGATGGGTGGTGTTGTGGTGGGTGAATTCCACAAAATTCTAGAGCATTGAATTGTTAGCCAAGCCCAGTCCAACCCAGCAAAAAACTAAACGGCCAAAAGGCAGGTTTCCACCTCGGAACAAACGGCTAAGGGGTTGGAAAAACGGAGGTATGGAGTGTATGTGGATTCTTGGAGTAGAGCCAGCAGACGGCCTACAGATGTCTTTGCCGATGGCATTAGTTTAAATTTGCTTGCCACATACTACACACATTTGTGGAACTCTTGCATATATATTTTCATTTTTGGCCGAAAAGTAGAGTTTCGGAGTCGAGTACTTCGAGGCAGGAATTTAATCATATTCGAAGGACTGGAAAGAGGGCAGCTTATGGCAATTAAAATGGTTCGAAAATATATAGAGAAGAACGTTTGAAACTGTGGTATCTACTCGGTAACAGTGGCTGCCACTTAATTTAACTAATTTACTACAATCTGAATTCCGTGGAAGCTCAAGATTCAGCTCCGACCGTAGCCCCCTTTAAGCGTTCTTCTCCCCTCATTGCTGGCACACTTTGTGTGTTTATGGATTCCATTTCGCTTCCCATTTTCATCTTTTTCCTCGTTACACTCGAGTGGATTTGCATTCGCATTCTTCAGCTCCACTCACGGTCGCCAGTCCCTAGTCTTCAGTCTCTGACTATGTGTTTTTCCGACTCGGTTTTGGGGTCTGCGTTTTATGTCTCTGGCGTCGTCGTTTGCATCTTTCTCACATTGTGAGCAAAATGTTGACGAAATGCATTAATTCTAATATATATTCATGTGCAGCTGGCATTTGCCGTTTTGTTTGGCTTTAATTTACCAAGAGTTTTTGATTTCCCTACATTTTCCTTCTCGCCGTGCCTCTCCTCGTTGGCTCCATTTAGATTACTATTATCTGGAGCCCTAATATGTACATATATGCTGCCGCTGTTGTATTCCACCGAAAATGTCTATTCGTTGGACAAACACACGTTTTTTTGATGCTTCGACAGAAAAACCAACGCATTTCCCAGCGAAATAAATCGCGACCAGAGCATCGCCTGAATGCAGGCTACATTTTTGGTGGCCCAACTCTTGCCCAGCAGAGCACACAGTGCATGCTGGACTCGCTCGAACGGCAGATTAAACAATTAGAAGAAATTACTTTATGTGCCGCTCAGCTTGCTCTGGGGCAAAAGCTTTCCAATTTTATTTAAGGCAAATCTAAGTAAATCGAAATTTAATAATAAATAAATTAAGGGATGTGTGTTGTATTCATCTAAAAAGTCAGACCTGTCTAAGCCAGGGTGGGCACAAGCCAGATAGAGTGTTAGAGGGAACAGTCTTCACGTGCGTGCCCATCTAGTGTCTAAACGGCCTTGTTCACCCAAATGCAGTTGCAACAATACAGAGCCAGAGCAATGCCTATAATTTCAAAAGCTTTCTCACCATCTTTGTCAGTAAAAACGTATATTATTTTCGTATTTCTGTGCAATAAAGTACCTTTATTTATATTGTCCACGAGCACTTGCTGAGTATGCAACGCTTCGAGGGACATAATGACATTCTTAATCGCTTTGTGGTTTCTGGTTTGGTTTTTATTTTTCGGGGCCACCTGCTGAGGTCAAGGTGTGAAAACACATGCCTCATTTAGTTGGATAGTGGAGGGCTATGGAGCGCGGCCACTGGCAGGGCAATTGGCAAACACAACAATAAACAAGGCAGACGGCAGTGGTTGGGCTTTTGTGGGCAGCTGGGTCCTGGGATTGCCATTGTTGTCCGTGTAATTTCAGATAGAGCACACCAAGTAATGCAGGCGGAGGCAGGCGGTTGCAGTTGTAACGAGGGGGCTTCGATTCACCCCGCCCACCCCTCACCTGGCATGAGTTCGCATAATAAGTTCCTGTTTATCTGCGTTGCGTTTGTTTGCCCAACGTTGTCTGCATTGCCCCCTATCTCTTCTTCCCCTCCCATGCCCCTTCCTTTAACCGCACCTCTGTGTGTGTGTGTGGCTGCGCAGGTGTCATGTTTCCGCTTCCGCTGCAGGAGCAAGCAGTAGCAGCAGCAGCAGCAGCAGCAACAGCTAGCAGTCAAGTGCAAATATTTTTCAACTCACTACACCTGTGACCGAAATAAGAGTGCTAGCGATTTGCAATAAATTCAAGAAAAATATATATTTACTGTATTTGCATTTATGCCAAAGAACGGTGTTGCTTTAGAAATAGAAATATAGAAATTAATTTGGTTTTAATTATCCAAAATGCAGCCTTTGCTTTAAAATTAAAAAATTAACTAAAGTAGTAAGTCAATCAGTAGCTTTCAGGTATACAGGTACACCAAATACCCCAGCTGTCATTTACGGGGTCGAAAAACTATTCAAAGAACGATTAAAAAGCAAAAAAAGTGGCGCTTGTTTTAATTTACAGGGAAATTATCATATTTTTTAATTTCGTATTTTTTTTTTCATTTTACATTTTTTTTATTTGCTTTTTTACACGTTCTGCAATGTGCAAGTTTCCCTTCAAAGTTTTCACAGGTTTTAAAAAGTTTATGTGGCTCGGAATAAATAACTTTAAGTATTCGGGTTTCATCGTCATCCCTACGACTCGCTATTGCCTTAGATAAAAAACTCTTGTTAGTATTCCAAAATATAATTTATTGAAAAATTATAAGTTACACACAGATCGATCGCAAAGACAAACGAACGAAATTGGGTTGCCACTCCTATTCTGTCTCAAAGGTAATGCAACTTGTTTTTGCTAAATTATTTCAATTTTAATCTGGCATTCCTTTATTTTCTTGTCTTTGTAGACACTTAAAAAAATTGCCAAATGATCGCTTGGAAGACTAATCTTCCAGGAATCGCCACCGCACCACCTAGGATACTCTTCTTGGCAGTCGCCGAAAATTAGAATAAGAGCTTGGCGATCACTAGAAATAATTTCTCCAACAATCGCCAATGCGGCTTGAGGGGTGATTCAACAACCGCCATTTGCTTTGAAGGGTATATGCATATATCCTGATTTACTTAAGTTGGGGTACAGTGTACCCCACAGTTGATCAAACTCGACTGTAGTTTTCTTCTTTGTATTTTCCGCTCCTTTTGGTGTGTATAAATTCAATGTTGAATAATTAAATATAGACATTATTTTACAATTGTTTTTCATGTCTGAGAGGGGGTTACTTTTCACTCTACCGGGAATTTATGACCTTCTCTTTCACTTAACCAAATTCGATAGTTTTCCAATTTTTTAAATCGTTTTTCCGAAGTAAGCTTTCGAATTGAAAAGCTAGTTTTTAAATGATAACCACTATATTGAAGGCAATTGTGAACGCAACAAATTGAAGAGAGGGTAGTGTGGCTGGGTTCTCTTAAATCTGTGAGGCATTTGCAGTTGTCGTTTTGCTGTTTGTTGCTATGCAGTAAAAATATTTGCCTTCGTTAAATTTTTAAGTGTGCGGCATGTCGATAAGTGCCCGAGTGTGCTGTTTTTTCCAAATGTTTACCTCGCCATGCTCTTTACGCCGCTATGCCGACCACTCACCCCCTTTTTGTCACCTATGTATATATTTATATGCAAATTATTAAAAAGTATGCACTTATCAGGACTTTCCCTTTAATACATTTTCTGAGTACAAATTTCACAAATAGTTTTGCAAAGTTCGAAAACTTAAACGGATTTGTTAGAATCATAATATGATATGATATCGATAGAAACCCTGAAAATATCGGAAAACATCGATGGCAACACTGTAGAGGTTCTTACAACACCAGAACAGATCTGTATATGTATGTAGCTATAATGTGGTGGATTGCGGGTGGATGGGCGGCGGAAGTGGAATGCCGTTGAAAATGCGCACTCAGTCGAAGTATTCGCAGATACTCACACACACATGCATCTCCGACAAACACACTCAGACGGATATCGAGATGGAGCCATCTTCAACTGCCGTTGGGTACTTCAACGGTTTTTCCTTTGCTCTGCGGCTATTCCGCTTTATTTCTTATTTTTTGATCGACAAACCGAACAAAGAAACGGGGAAACAAAC